ATATCATTATCAGCCTCACCTGCAGAGCATTTTCAGATTAAAAAATAAATAAATAGAACCCCTTACTCCCAGATAAATATACCTCCAAAAATCTTGAACACAATTGCAAATCTCAACATACACCCAGCAGATAACAGAAAACTAGTACAGGAATCTATATATATAAAAGCCAAGCGACTGGAAAGCCAGATGCGCACTGTGGCCGGCCAACTGGCCCAACCAGGGATGGGGGGTGGGGGGGAGGTGGCTCCTCTCCCCGGCTGGCTCTGCCCCAATCAGGGGCTCCTGCAGCCCCCCCTCTTCCCTACTGGCCCGGCCCTCTATGCCCCCATTGGGGTGGGCCAACCGGACTGCACCTGTGCACGAATTTGTGCACCAGGCCTCTAGTTTGACATAAAATTAACCAGTTGAGAGCCCTGAAGTGGTTGCGAGTTTTTGTTTTCTTTCTTGGTTTAAGGATAGGAGGAAGGGATAGGCCTAAAAAAGGAAGAAATGGATTTTTAACTCTCAGGATGTAGTCAAATTATTGTGATGACATTTGAGCCTTTTCAGAGCTCTTTAAACTTGGATGAATTGTACAATTACCTCCTACTCTTTTTTTCTTTTTCTGTGTTGGCACTGAAACGCCAGTACATGTAGCAAAATGAATAGGAAGAGATGTTATAGCCACATATCTAAACTTGCGAGTAACACAAATGTATGAACAGCACATTATGCATTCGTTCTCTTTGTTTTTTGTTTTGTTTTAATATATTTTATTGACTTTTTACAGAGAAGAAGGAAGAGGGATAGAGAGTTAGAAACATAGATGGGAGAGAAACATCGACGAGCTGCCTCCTGCACACCTACTACTAGGGATGTGCCTGCAACCAAGGTACATGCTCTTGACCGGAATCGAACCTGGGACCCTTCAGTCTGCAGGCCGACGCTCTATCCACTGAGCCAAACTGGTTAGGGCTACATTCGTTCTCTTGATAAGCACACTCCATTTTTTGGGGGGGTTTTTAAGCTCAATAACCAGCACTTGGGAAAAGTAAAACTCTATGTAACTAATGGTAATGATGTTTTACTGTACTTATACTACTTTGAAAGTCTTGTTCCCAAGACTCCTTGGCTTTCTTCCTCTAATACAAAGACATCTGAATGATATATCCTCAACTAAATCCTGTTTTAAAGCTAAATCCATGCTAATCTGAAAAAAAAAACAACTTGGAGTTTCCAAAGAAAACTAGAATTACTTTTATAGTATTTGTACTCGTGTATAATGTTTCATGCAGAGCTATATACTAACCACCCACAATGAGACATGTTCAAGATACTCTTCAACCTGTACTTTAAATGTCTTGGGTTTTGTGCCATAACCCTGTTACATAAAGTTATTTCTTTATTTCTTTCCTTTCCGATATGCTATCATCAATCTACCTGTCTCTCTTTGGAACTCCTTTAAGTTTCACAAAAGGAAATAATACTCCCGTTTGTTTCCATTGGCTCTGGCTTTCACTTCCAACAGGGAGCAGAAAGGACTACTTATTCCAAAGTAGGCCATTGAGAGAGAATGTATCCCTACCTCGGTAATAACAATATTCTATTTTCTTCATCCCTTACCCAACTCTGAAAGTATTTTTGCTGTCAGATGGCTTCCCCCGAATCAAACTTAAGAAACGCTCGACTGTTTCTCCGAATGCGTAAGAACACCACCAAGCATTTGAGTGTAGATGATGGCTGCTTCATTCCAGGTGTCTCACATCTGGTGCTGATCCTGCAGTGACCACTGTAATAAAGCAGGAGGAGCCTTTGCCTGGCTTTCATCCTAATCATGCTCTAAAGAGCTCAATGAAAACGTGGACTGGGAACGTGAAAGCCGTTAGTTTTTAGGGAGAAGGTTTAAATGAGGAGGCAGTTTGAAGAAGAGCAATAAACATCACAGCTCAGGCTATCAAATACCACAACAGGGCTTCATTTCCGTGGAATCTCAGATTGCCATCCGTTTTTTATTTTGTCTTACATGGAAAACATTATCCTTCATTGGTAACACCTTGAAGCCCAAAAACTCATATGTAGGTAAAGGTACAGATAAGAATTTATTCTTTGTTTTCAAGTCTGGGAGAGGAGAGGCTAACTATGCTACTAGTGCTGACAAACAAATGAGCACGTGGAGGAAACACAAACCCCTGGAATATTAGTGCTTTAATCTGGCAAAGATAAAACTTTTTTAATGACTTTCAATAATTCTTTTCATGTTACTCAGCATCTAAATCTCAAGTTTGATGACTTCCAAATTTCTATTCACACCCAGCTTCTGGGGTCACACAACGAAAGTAGATGTGGCTGGCACTGTACAAACTTTTAGTGCTTTCAAACCAACTGGTATTAATACATATCAATGCAAAACAGGGACTAGAAAGGCAATATGGCTGAAGAAGAGGATTCAGTAAAACAAGGGTTACGTTAACAGGGTAATGACTGAATGGGTGGCCATAAGGCGACTTTAAACAGCTTGCCACAGGAAAGCTTCATTTTCCATTTTCTTGTACAGTATCTAATTTCTGGCTCCTCATTTCCTCCGTGATCTGATAAGTATGAAATTCTAAATAAAGTGTCATCTTTCTTGCAACAAATCAATGAACAGAACGCTCCCGTCAACAATGCAGATGTTTCCTAAACTTCTGCTGATTATTTCCTGAATGTCTATCCCACAAACCACACAGTATGCTCTTTGAGAACAAGGAAGCCTCTTTGCCCCATAACACATACAGCGTCTATGTGTGTACGTGTGGGTGTATGCACTTAAAAGGGAGGACCAAGAAGTAATACGCAACTGATAACAAGTCACCACAAAAATCACCTTTTGTTACCAATTTCAGATTGAAATTCAGCCCTTTCCAAACGCCATGATACAAATATGGAAAAGGAGAATTCCTACTCATTGCATATTTGTCCCTACAGATGAAATAAAATTGTTTTTGCATTCCCTATTACAGATTTACACCAGTTGTACCTCCATATACACAATTCTATTTTGGGCATCCTTCTCCCTGTCATATAACTTAAAATAATTCCACCCCAAATAGAAACAGAAAAATAAATTTTAAGGAAATAATCCCACCTTGATTCCTCCTGCTATCCTTATACAAAGGTCAACTTTGCGTTATTAAAAAAAATTAAAATTCTATGGGTTTCTAACTAAGCCTTCAGGTTCACAACTAAGCCTGGGCTTATCTATATATATAAAAGCCTGAGTGACCAGAACGACCAGAACGACCAGTCTCTATGATGCGCACTGACTACCAGGGGGCAGACGCTCAACACAGGAGCAGCCACCCTGATGGTCAGTGCACTCCCACAGCCAACCTCCCCTAGCTGGCCAACCTGCGTGTGTTCTCTCCCCACAGCCAGCAGGCCCCAGTCTGGGACAGGGAACTGGGGGTGGGTGGCGGCTGATGTGGCCCCTTTCCCAGAGGGGCCGAGGGCCAGCACCCTTCTTGGGGCTGGTGGCCAACCTCCCGTGCCAACAGGCCCTGATCAGCCTGCTGCCCACCTGCTGTGGTGGCAGCGTGGCGGCGAGAGAAGGAGAAGGGAGTAAAGGAGGAGGGAGTGGAGGAAAGGGAACCGCATGGTGGCGGGGCGCCAACGATGGCGGAGTCGGCGTCTGGCGTCCATTCCTTTCGTGACTGGCCCGGTGACCATCACCTCCTCTCTGGCCCAGCCCTGATCACCGGCCAAGCCTAGAGACCCCACCCTTGCACAAATTTCATGCACCGGACCTTTAGTCTACTAATAAAGGAACGTTATGGGAGCGTTTGTTTTCAAGACTCTTCCAGCCTACCAAATATTATAATATTTTCACGTTTGCAAAAAGTTCCCATCTTCTGCATTCTGTTAGTTTCAATTATTCAGGGCAACCCAGGCTGATAATTACACAGTCCCCAGTCGCTGAGTAAAAGTGATGCTTAATTAGCCAGCAGGAAAGATCGATTAAGATCCAGCAGGGCATCTTGTGAGGTTCTCTCACATTCCTGGAGGGAATAGATTCTGGCTGTGCCCTTTGAAAGGATAAAACTCCCCGCTTCTCAGGAGTTTCAGTGAGGTTTCTAAAGTAGATGCTAAGATCGGTCAGCCACACAAATTAACTCCCAATTATAACCCTGCAGATGCTCTGCCTTTTCTAAGAGTACTCAGATCAAACATTCGGAGTCACATCGCCACCAGGTTGGAAAAGGCTTAAAGTAATGCTCACTTATCCCCAGCTCTCTTTCAGTTTCCACATTTCAAGTAAGTCCTGGGTGAGAAGTATATTGGAAAGGAAAGTTTTTGTTTCTTCCTCCCCCACACAGGTGTATGCATCTGTCAGATGCTCACATTCTAAAAGGCACACATTAGGTGTGAGCCTCTTATTAAAAAATCTTAATGAGCATGATATCCCAACCCAGTCTGAGACTAAAACATTCCAATATAGTCAAAGAATCAACCAGGTAAGTCTGGGTTTACGTTTTTTGTTTGTTTGTTTGTTTTTTTAGGGAAGGGGACGTGGAAGTAAAATCAGGACTAAAAATCATAGTGAAAATTAATTACCTCACAGGGCCTAACATCTTCCCTTTAGTAATGCGGACAAGCACAAATGTTTACCTTGTCACACATTTTGCAAAAGGGTTCAATAAAGACCAAAATAGTCCAAAGCTAAAAGCAGAATTATTATCTTAAGACACATAATTAGCAAACTATTTCTATTTTGGTAAGCTATACTAATTATACCTGCCTAGTTCCAATTCAATTCAGTAAATATTTATTAAACTTCATGGGAATGATGAACTTACCTTGCATTTAAATAAAATAAATGTACATATACATACACAAATAATATTCATTAAGCCTCTACCAAGTATACAGAACTATGGTTGGTATGTCTTATCTTGTTAATTTATACACTACTAACGTAGATTTTACTGATTATATACTGTTTTAAACTTATGAGGAAGAAGAATGGAACCATTTATACAAACCTAGTTTTGATTTGTTGAAAACCCCGAAGAATATGGTCTCTGTGGTCCCTTGCAATAGCACTGAGGTTCTCATTCCTCAAATCTTCCGCCAGAAAATCCTCAGCATCTAAAAGAAGAGGAAAGCAGATCAACTAAAAAGAAGTACTGAGGAGGGCATGAGTGGGGGGGAGGGGTAATCAAGGGATAAGGACACATATGTAATACCTTAATCAATTAAGAAATTAAAAGTCAAATTAATTAATTAATTTTAAAAAAGAAGTACTAAAGGAAAATCTGAAGAGTTTAGAAACAGATAATATTTTCTCTTTAAAAACTTTAAAGTTGCAGAACAATGTGAATGCACTTAATGCCACAGACCTGTACACCTAATAATGGTTATAATGGTAAATTTTGTTGTGTAGAGTTTACCAGAATAAAAAATAAATAAAACTTCCTATACGCCTATAAGTGACACCTTTTGATAATCCAAGACGTTGCTATAAATTTAGAAAGTTAATGCATACATTAACAAGAAAACACTATTTTCTAAACTACTTTAAAGGAATATTTAATTAGTAACTATCATTGATGGCAGAGGATGGACTGTCACTTTCATAAACATCTAAATATTACAAATAATTCCTGGAAGGTCACAGACCAATGGAAGTTAGAAAGAAATACCAATAAATAAAGCTGAAATAGAAAAACAGAGCGGAACTTCAAACTCAAGAACAAAAGGGCAGGCATTCACAGAAGAAAAATTAATTAGCAGATGCATCATCAATGAAAATGACAATGCAACCAAGTGAAGGAACCCACACGGAAAAGAAAAATGTGTCTAAGAGAAGGAAACGGCAATTAACGTGAGCACACATTATAAAACAGGAACATGGTAGAAAGATAGAATATGAAACAAATCATGTTATGTTGAAAGAAATTGAGAGGCACCTATAAATTTTCAAAGACAAAATACATTGATAATGATTACAATTGTCAGAAATACTAGCTACACACTTTATTACACATAAAATGGTTATCATCCCTTAAAAAGCATATAAATAATCTAGTTAAAATTTCCCACCTCCAAAAATAGTGCCTGTAATATGAAACTGTACCATATATACTATCAAAATAATGTTAGAATTTATACAGTTGGGCCACTGTATAATAAGCACCCTTAAAAATCTGTTTTACATTCACAGCATTAAAAGTCACCAAACAGAATTCTAGGTAGTCATCACCAACATTTTTGATGAGGTATAAAGTTCTGAAAATTAAAATTTTCCCAGAGGACCACCATCAACTTCTATACCCTGCATCACATCTATTGTATAGGTCATTTAGTAGGTTCTTCTAAGGTCCTATGAAGGCTAAAGAATGAGGAAATGGGAAGTTGAGTTAAAAGGTTAAAATAAATGGTACCCAAAATTTAATTAATGTAGCACACCATATTAACAGAAAAAAATCACATGATCATCTCAACAGATACAGAAAAAAAAAACCTGGACAAATTTCAATAGCTCTTCATGATAAAAATCACTCAACAAACTAGGAATAGAAGAAAATTTTTTCAACGTGATAAAGAGCATCTACAAAAACCCCACAGCTAAGATCATACTTAATAGTAAAAGGCTGAATACCTTCTCCCTGTTTCCAAGGTCAGGAACAAGACAAGAATGTCTGCTCTCACCATTTATACTAAAAATTGTACTGGTGCTAGCCAGGGAAATTACGCAAGAAAATGAAGTTTAGCCGAATCCGGTTTGGCTCAGTGGATAGAGCGTCGGCCTGCGGACTGAAAGGTCCCAGGTTCGATTCCGGTCAAGGGCATGTACCTTGGTTGCGGGCATATCCCCAGTGGGGAGTGTGCAGGAGGCAGCTGGTCGATGTTTCTCTCTCATCGATGTTTCTGATTCTCTATCTCTCTCCTTTCCTCTCTGTAAAAACTCAATAAAATATATTTAAAAAAAAAAAAAGAAAAAAAAAAAGAAAATGAAGTTTAAAAAGTCTAGATTATATGGGAAGAAGTAAAACTCTCTACTTTCGGATTTTATGATCTTGTGTCTATATAGAAAACCTTCTGGGTGCATGCAACAGACTGACAGATCTCAGAGGCAAGGGGAGTGGAGGGAATGGGAAGAGATTAACCAAAGAACTTATATGCATACTAGAGGCCTGGTGCACGAATTCGTACATGGGTGGGGTCCCTTGGCCTGGCCAGCCAGGGGGAGGGGCCATAGGAGCTTGGCTGTGGGAGCACACTGACCACCAGGGGACAGCTCCTGCATTGAGTGTCTGCCCCCTGGTGGTCAGTGTACATCATAGCGACTGGTCTTTCAGTCGTTCAGTAGTAACAGTTGCTTAGGCTTTTATATAGAGAGATATGCATAGCCCATGGACACAGACAATAGTGTGGTGAAGGCCAGGGACTGGGTGGAGGGGGGCAAAGGCAGGGAAAATGTGGGACATCTGTAATACTGTCATTTTAGCCTGTGCCAATCCTTTTGCATACAGACAAAATCTTAAATGTATAATGCCAGTATAGACAGGAATTTGTGCCACCCTTCTCTTAGAAATGTGAGTTCTGCTTTAGTAGTTCAAATACTTTCACAAAATATCCCCTCTAGGAATACTCTGATTGGTGTTTGGTTGATGGAATTGTTTTCAGCAGCACTGGCCGTTCATCCTGCCTCCATATAGAAGGTTGATTGAAGCAAACTTTTGAGTTGTAGAAGCATATATCAACAACAACAGAAAAACATCTGCAACTGTTCAGGAACACCAACAACTTTTTTCCTTTCAATGTATCAGGAGCATTACTTGGAAAATAGATGGAAGCTAACTTGGAAAATGTGACCCATAAGACATCATTCTCCAAATAAACAGAATAGCCTTGCAAATGAACAGGGTCAGAGATCTGGGAGTATGTCAGAGATGTTCACCAGTCTACAAAGCCTAGTGATCTTGGGTGCATCCTGCTAAGTCAGAATCTTTTCAGTCAGCCTCCAATCCTGCAGTGCTGTGAGGAACAGATCATGTCTAGTGTTCCACATACTCTCTGTTCCCTTAGCCTTCTCTCTTCCTTTCCTATCTTCTTATTCTATGACTAGAGGTCCGGTGCATGAATTTGTGCACAGGTGGGGTCCGGCTGGTCCACCCCAATTGGGGTGGGGGGGGGCGATTAGGGGCAGGGCTGGCCAGGGGGAGGGGCCGAGGGCAGTTGGCTGGCTGGCCCCGCCCCTTGGTTGAACTCCCCGTCAAACTCCAGGTTGAGGGGACAATTTGCATATTAGCCTTTTATTATATAGGATTATTTGCTGGAATAAGTAAGCTGCCTGGAAACTGAGGAATCTATGTTCTAGGACAGCTGTGAATTATAATAGGAAGATGCATCTTTGCCAGAGCTGTGCTTACCTTTTAAATATGGGACTTAAAATCATTGTTTATTACTTTTAGTACAAAATACTGTATATTGCTACAAGGCAGCCTTCCAGAATAATCTTTCACCTCTGTCCCTCTTGCCCCTAACTTTTATGTTTTGCCCTCCAAGTTGAAATTCTTTCAGTCTCTCTGAGATCTGTCACCTCAAGACCTTTGCACGTGATGTTCCCATGCTTGTGCCATTCTTTTTTTTTTTAATCTTCACCTAAGGATACATTTTTTTTTTAGAGAGACAGAGAGAGTGGAAAGGAGGGAGGAGGGAGAGGGGGAAGGAGGGAGGGGAGATGAAGAGAGAGAGAGAGAGAGAGAGAGAGAGAGACAGAGATTTTGATGTAAGAGAGAACACTGATGGGCTGCCCTCCACATGTGCCCCAGCCGGGGACTGAACCCACAACCCAGGTACATGCCCTGACCAAGAATCGAACCTGCAACCTTTTGGTATACAGGACGATGCTCCAACCAACTGGGCCACACCAGCCAAGGCTACAGTAAGTCCTGAAGTTGAGTTCTCCAACTTTGTTTCTCCTCTTTCTTCTTCTCCTCTTCCTTTTTCTTTAGTATTGTATTAAAAATATACTGTGAGAATTTTTGAATTCCTTAAATTTTCTTCATGAATATTGTTTTTAAATGGCTATATATTCATTATATGGATCTATGGTATAACCAATATTAAGTGGAAAACCTGAGAACATCTAGTATCTAATTTTTGTAAAAGAACATAGAAGGTCATGTTAGAGAATAAAAACAGAAAGAGTGGTGGGGCTGTAAGTAATTATAATTTTCTTCCTTGTATCAGTTTCTGTATTTTGCAAATTTTCTACAATGAGCAGTAATACCTTTTTTTATTAGAATTAACGGTAAAATGTTTGCGTCTGTAAGTCTGAGAAATACATTTTCTTCCTTTCCCCTCTCAATCTATCTAAATACTATAATAGTATTCAGAAACATTTGCACCATAATTTACTATCTGTACTTATGCTTACTACATTAATATACTGAGAGGAGGAGTCCAGGGTAGTGATTAAGAGCTCAGACTCTGGAGTAAGATTACCTGGATCCATATCTTGGCTGCACCACTTGCTAAGTGTGTAAGCTGGGAGCAAGTTTCTTAATTTTAGTTTTCTCATGCAGAAAATGAAATAGTAGTATCTACCTCATAGGTAACCCAAGGTCTCCTGAGGTGAGGTGACATGATGTTTATATTAGAAAACATTTTGCTCTAAAAAGGTTGGTCACTTAAAAGAAAACCCATCAGATAGAGGGTGAGCTTGGTTAAATAAGGGAGGTGATCTATTGAGGGGCCTGTCAAAGTTTCTGCCCTGTACAGTGGTGAGTGGTGTGTTCTGCGCTGTACTGCTCAGACACCTTTCAGATTGCATTCACTGTGAATAGCATCATCTTTTAAGCTGAAGGGCAGATGTATTATGTATTGGTCTGTAAATTTTCTTCCCTTAATATATTTATAACGTTCCAATATCAGGTTATATTGGCTTCATAAAATAAATTGAAAAGTGTCTGCTCTATTCTATTTTCTGTGATAGTTTGTGTAAGAATTGTATTACTTCTACCTTAAATGTTTAATAGAATTTACTTGTGAAATCATTGGGGCCTGACTTTTCTTTCTAGAAAGGTTTTTTAAAACTACACATTCTATTTCTTTTATAGACATAGGAGTATTTGGATTTTGGATTTTATTTTGTGTATATTTGGT